CTGTCTAGCGAGTGCATGCGCCCTATAGCAAAAACCTCTCCAAAAAAAAAAAAAGTTTATGAAAGAGGCAGCATTGTTCCCATTTTAGATAAAGACACAAAGGCGTAAGAAACAGGCTGAGTGTGGGCTACTCAGAGGTGTGGTGGTTAAGGCAGCTGGATCCCCTAAGGGGATGTGCGTTTGGAGTCCTAGACCTAGTGGCTACAAAAACATGCTGAGTGCATGTGCATGTGTGCCCCACATCCCGGAAGGTGGGAAACAGAGAAGGGATTGCAGTGTGACCCTTCCTCAAGGGGGTGGGGAGTGGTGCTTTCTCACTTTCTCTTGTTCTCTCTCTGGCAAGCACACACATCCTCTGGCAAAACTTTTTCAAAAATAAAAGAAAAAAGAAAAACGGGCCAGGTACACATGTGTCCAGCACCCTGATGGGAGAGATTTAGGTTCATAAGGAAACCATAGGTTTTAGTCAAACATGTATAATCCATACCTAAATTTTAAAAATAAAGCCTGAACTGGGAACAAGCAGTTAGTGTAATGGCTATGTCGCTGGACTCCCACGTAGTTGACCACTGTCACGTCCCGGACCCAGTGGCTTAAAACTCACGCCAGGCGCGTATGCATGTGTGCCCAAGATCCCAAAAGGAGAATGGAGGAGAAGAGATTGCGGCATGACCATCCCCTCTGGGGGGTGATTTCTCGCTTTCTGTCTCTATGTCTCTCTCTGTCTGTCTGGCGAGCGCATGCACCCTATAGCAAAAAAAAAAAAAAAAAAAACCTCTCCAAACAAATAAATAAATAAATAAATGAACTAAAGTTAGCCTTTCATTAACTTATGTAGATGTCTGAGGTAACAAAAAAACAAAGAAGGAAGGGACTGTAACTCCTTCCCTCTAAATGTCCTCTATGGTAAAACAAACAAACAAAAAAACTTTTTTGCTTAGTATTCCACTCTTAGCACTTCTGTTAAATATTGTTCTGGAGGGTCTAGCAGACAAGAAAAATAAAAGGTACCTAATCTGGAAAAGGAGAAGCAAGACTGTCTTTAGTCACAGAAGACATGATCATCTGTACAGGAAATCCTACAGTGTCTATAAAAGCGATACCAGAACTATTATGTCACTTCAATAAGACTGCAAAATACAAGAGTAATACAGAAAAGTCAGTTAGATTTCTATATACTATAAATGAAAAACTGAAAGTTGACATTTTCACTTACAAAAGCATCAAACTGAAATAGAAGGATAAATTGGACAACAGACGTGCGAGATCTGTGCACTGAAAACTACAAAGCATTGCTGAAGACGTAAATAAACAGCCCAGAAAATTCCATATGGTCACCCCTCTCTTAATGACCAACCCATTTAACGACCACTTGGACTTATGGCCAGTTCTCCAGGGTGGGGAATTTCCTTTCTCAGTCTTTGTCTCCCTGCCACAGACAGACAGTTATCACTACATCAAGTGTTTACTGTTATGTAAGATTACATATTTCTTTTATAAATTTGTACTTTATTGTGCACCCATAGTAGTATTCAGAATAAATCAAAACTATCATGTCAGATTTACATTATTGTGTTGTGGTTTGTCTTGTTGCTTTCTGGTGCTTATCTAATGTATGCTTTTTGTATGGATAGAATCACATTATTCTAGTGTGGTGTTGCATAGTACCCACTGAAAAATACAAATGCTATGGCATCAGGACACAGCACAAGACATATGCATTTAAGTTCCTCACTTATCCATCGATTTGCTTAATGACCCAGTCAATAGAATGTAACAGTCAATTAAGGGAGGAGTACATGTACTGTTAGATGTCAACGCTCCCCAGATTATCTATCAATTCAACTAAACCTCAATAGGTTAGCCAAAATAATTTTTCAAAAGAAGAACAAACTTACACTACCTGATTTCAAAATTAACTATAAAACTACAGTAATTAAGAGTATATTTAATGTAAAGACTGGTAAAAAGAGCACTTGTAAAGATTAATAGAGTTCAGAAGAAGACCCACATATATTTGGTCAACTGAATTTCAACAAATGTGCCAAAGTAATTAAATGGGGAAGCAAAAATATCTTAACAAATGGTGCTATATGGACTGCTACATGCAAAGTAAACAACTTTTTCCTTTATCTTGTATTGTATTAAAAAATTAGCTCAGGGGACCAGTAGACAGCATAATGGTTATGCTGCTGGACAACCATATGGCCAATGGCGGTTTGAGTCCTAGACTTAGTGGCTTGAAACTCACTCTGGGCGCGTGTGTGTTCATGCCCAAAATCTCGAGAGGAAAACAGAGAAAGGACTGTAGAGTGGCCATTCCCGCGGGGGATGATTTCTTACTTTTTGTCCCTGGCGAGCGTACGTACTCTAAAGCAAAAATCTGTCTTAAAAAAAGAAAAAATTAACTCAAAATACATCGTAGGCCAATGTAAGAACTAAATAAAACTTCTTGGAGGAAACAAAGGAAAAAGTCTTAGTGGGCTTGGCAAACATTTCTCAAAAATGACCAATAATCACTAGTATTGTGCAAAAATAAGATACATACCATTTCTTGGTCTTTTAACAACAGAGGACTTCCTTGGAAGATTTAACCCTTTAGTATTTATCACTTTTTCAATGCCCACCGTAGTCAGATTTTCCTTCAATCGTGTAGCACCTGAAACAATATCCTGCTCACGTTGAGGACAGTAATTCCTATGCCAAATGCTATTAATGTTAGATGACTTTTGGCATCTTTTGTCATTCCAACTATGACTTCTCAGTTGGGCAGGCTAAAGCAGTAAAAAAATAAAGGTTACTTGAAGAAGGAAAATAATTCATTTCCTCATATACAACATCGCTTATAAATAATTAAATAATCATTAAAAAGAGCAGCTTTTGATGAAGCAGTTGTCTCAACATTTTCCATTTTGCCAGTCCTATACTTTTCATTGAGTGTTATATTCCAGCCCTGTCTCTTGTCTTCTATTTTTTTTAGAGACATTTTACTATAGGGCACATGTACTTGTCAAAGAGAGAGACAGAGAGAAAAAAGTAAAAAAGCACCCCACGGGGGGATGGCCATGCCACAATCCCTTCTCCTCTAGTCTCCTCTCAGGATTTTGGACACACATACACATGCACCCCATATGAGTTTGAAGCCACCGGGTCCAGGACTCAAATAGGGGTCAACCATGTGGGAGTCCAGGGACATAACGATTATGCTCTCTGCTGGTCCCAAGGCCTGTCTCTTTCCTAATGAGAGTCAAGCAACCTTGTTAGCTCATTTCTAGGAAATAAGAAACAGGAACTGTTAGTGACATAGCTGAGGTGGCTGGATCCCACATAGCTGACCATGTGTTTCAAGTCTTGGACCTGGCGCACTGAAAAAGACGCTGGGTGCATGTGTATGAGTGCGTGCCCAAATGTCCCAGGAGAAGGGATTGTGGCATGGTCATCCCTCCTTATGCCCTCACCCTTGGGAGTGCTTGCTCATTTTCCCTCTCTCACTCTCTGGCGAGTGCATGCACACTATAACAAATTAAAAATAATAATGAAAAGAAAAAGAAATAAATAATCTTCCTAAAAGAATATACTTCATTATAGCACTTACCGTATTTTTCTATATATAACTACAACTCCTTCCTCTAGGTAATGAGCACCTCACAAGGCATGGATTATGTTTTGTTTTTCTTTATATGCTAGAACACTGGCTAACTTAACTAGATTGGTTATAGTGCCTTTTTTTTTTTTTTTTTTTCTTTTTTTAGAGGGCTTTTTTCTTTGGGACACGTTTTTTTTTTTTTTTTAACTTTTTCAGAGAGGCTTTTACTATAGGGCACGTGTACTCACTGAAGAGACAGACAGAAAGCAAGAAATCACCCCCAGGGTGATGGCTACCCTTTTCTTCCAGTCTCCTCTTGGGATTTTGCCATGCATGCACATGTGCCCAGTGAGTTTAAGTGGCTGGGTCTGGGACTCAAACTGCTGTTGGCTACGTGGGAGTCCAGTGATGGAACCATTACACCATCTACTGGTTACAGTGTTTAATAAATGCCTCCTAAAGGACTAATTTAGTGAGCAAGGGTAAAAAAACTGGATTAGACTGGAAGCTATAAGAAGAGAAAAAAAAATCAACCAAAAAGACAACAAAATGAAGCAAGAAACAGCAATGAAAGAGAAGCCAAAGTTTACCTCAAAGTTTTCTGGTCTGAGAGGATGAAAGAAATCATGTAACTGATATTCAATCATTCATTCAATAAACATGGTAATTATAATAATGGCAGTGACAATCACAAAGTCCTGCCATCAGGAAAACTACATTCTATTGGGAAGAATCAGAAAATAATCAAAAGGACATGGTGTTACATAGTAATAAGTACTTACAAAGAAAAATAAGAGAAATGTAATTAAGGAAAGCTGATAAACAGTGAAAGTTATGGTCTTGATTATGAATAGATCTGAAATCACAGGAAATCAGTTATACAGAGATCTAAGAGTCACTAATTGGAGTTAGTGTGCAGGTGAGAGACAGGGGTAAAGTTGTAGACATGAGGTATCTCTGCAAAAATGGGATAAAGTCTTAAGAACTTCTGTAAAGAATGCTTTAACAGAAAACAGAGCACAGTATGAACAGATCTAGGAAGAGAAAGGAGAGAATGGTCTTAAGGGACATTCAATTAGGGAAAAGTAGGTAAAAACACCAAAGTGGTTACAAATACAGCTGGGGCACATAATAAATAGTGAATAAAAAAGTGTGTTTTAGTCCCAAAGGTTTCATTTGGGACAAAGAAAATGTCTCAAAGCCATATGTCTCAAAGACTGACTGATGAGATAAAAGGGCATCAAGTGCTTGGTATTTTCAAATAAAAACAGTCAAGTATAAAAGTCTGATAATATATAATGTAGCCACTTCCTAGTGAAAAACAATTAATAATATATGTATGTTCTAACAGACAGAATTTCCCTAGGATCAAATGCCTTTATCCACAGTTCTTAAGACACAACAAAATATGCTTCCATACAGCAGTCATTAAAATATTACCATAGCAGTGTCCGGATTGTAGTCATCAATTTGTTCAAAAGTATTTATATCTTTATTTCCAAGTGCTATTTGAAAAGCTATAGAATCATCAACATACCTAGGTTGGTAAGATTAAGGAAAATTGCATTTATTAACAACCAAACAATACTAAGATAAAAAGATGTTTTCTAATGTCACAGAAAATCTTCAGGTTTACAACTCTAGGGGCCCTACTTTCTTTCCATGTCATCATTACTGAAACCACAAGCAGAAGCTTGTGGTTTCTATCTGGTCCTGCAGGAGCTAGTTGTTTTCTGATGCAAACCCTCAAGCCATCGTTTACTCTTTTCCTTCAAGAGCGATGGAAGAAAAGTCACAGCCATCACAGACAAGAAATCATCCTGAGTACACATAGCTATGGGAAGGACATTGCCTACCGGTGCACTCAAATGCCCAGACTACTCTTCCTGATAAGTTGAGCTTGCCTGCCCTGACAGGTTCTCTCAAGGGCACCCTTTGGAAGATATACCTTCAGTGACTGAACCAGAGCTCATTCCTGTCAGATCAATCTATTGTAAGTAATCAGCATGCTATAATGGATAAGCCTTAAGTTTAAAAACAAAAAGTTGTCCTCAATTTTCTCTACTTTGGTAATTAAAATGAATAAAATACAGGTTTCACTATAAAAAAGGAAACAAAAAACAATTTGCAAGCTTTTTATACTGAACTTTTCACAAAAATGTTACCATAAATATACAGAAAAAAAATAAAAAAAGAAAGAGCAAAACTATACCATCCTGGTTCAGAAAGGATACCGCCCAGCGTAGCTTAGTGTTTCAGGATCAATGTCATCTTCATAGGCATTCAGAGGGATAAGCTTCCTTTTGATGGGATCAAAAACTAACTGATAAAGGAAGGTATTGTTGGCACGAATAAATCCTTTGATGTAATCATCTGGTACTGCTATATTCATCTTGAGATAATGTCCAATTTTTTTGATAACCTAACAACAGATATAAAAACATTTTATCTGCAACTAAAGAAAAGGAAACACATTATCCGTAAGACTCAGTTTACATTTGAAGACCACGAGAAGTGACCAGAAATCAACTGTTTTTATTTACAAACTCTACTGGGAAATACAACTATGTCATATTGCTTTAAATCTAATAACTAACATTTTCTTTGATTTTTCTATTATTAGTCCAAAGGATTGAGAATTCAGTATACATCCATCTTATTTTGCTAGAAAATATGTTATTTATCCTTAAAGTCCTTTTAATTTAGAAAGCACACACAAAACATATAAAACATGAGAATTAAAAAACTCCCAAGATCCAAGATCCTAGGTTTTTTTTTTTTTTGAAGAGGTGTTTTGCTATAGGGCACGTGCGCTTGCCAGGAAGACAGAGGCAGAGACAGAAAATGAGAAATCACCCCCCATGGGGGATGG